ATCATTGTATACTTTAAAGTTTTGGGTAAATAACAATTAATTATGGTTAATTGGTCTACATTTACAACCAGCAAAAGAACAGTTGTTTTTGTTTGATGTCGTCAACTTGCTGGTCTTGTCTGATACCAAATTACTTCATTTTACAGTAAGCATTTCAATACCTTCTCATTAGTAATCTAATGTACCTTGTTAATGTGTAATAAGTAAACTTGACTTAGTTGTATTGTTTAGGATAATAAAAAGGTGAATAAAAATAATATTGGCAATCAGAGATGACTGTAATAAATATGCATACGATAAAGCACATTCGAAGAATTTGCTTTGCCTTAACAACTGATACTCTTTAAACAATTTTTTGCTGTTACTTTTGTCGCTTTACAGTTACTTCTCTTCAGAATACTTATTATTTTGTCGTTTACTGCATATATTTGTTTTCACCTCTTTGTAAAACAAAAAAAGACGTTCAAATTTTATTTTTTTACTCTTTTTTTCCTACTTTTACTGTTTAAGTTTATTTATCATTAACGTAATCGATGTTGTCATTATTTTGCTGATATTGATGTTATAACCGACAAATTTCTGTTCTGTTGACGACGGAAATACAGTTGATATTTTTTTCTTACATTTTTCAGATTGATTCTGCGAAAAGTTGATGAAATTATAGGAATCTTGAGTAGCAATAGCAACAGCATCAGTATCACAACTACCCTGTTTTGTTGTTTTTTTTCTTCTCTTTTTTTTTCACGTCAACTAGATTCAGAAACTACAATGAAAAAGAATTAGTGTGTTGTTTGTTTGTGCCCGATAACGGCAGTTATTTGGTGGACAACGTTGATGACGACTAATACCAACAACAACGGTGACGTCCAAAAAAACGACAGCAAATTTAATTGTGCCATCGTTGTCGTCGTCGTTGTCGCTGTTGCCGTTGTTGTTGTTGTTGCGCTGTTCTTCTAACAGTACAGTTAAAATGTTAAAAAGTTTAAATGTTTGTTAAGTAACCATCAATAAAGAAGTTTTTTACTGATTAAAATCAGTTTATTTATTTCTCAACTTTCTTTTTTTTGCTCTTTTTTGCTCTTTTTTAGAGTAGAGGAAA